GCTTGACAACCCAAGAGATTTGATCCTTGGAAAGATATTGATTCTTTCCAAGAATAAGATAGCTAGCCGTTGCTCTTCCTTGATATCCTTCCTTTAATAGTTGTATATAATTAAGGCTTGCTCCTTGATTGTTGGCTCCTTCCGAAATTAGCCGCTTAGCAATCTTTACAGGATCTTCGATCTTCCGGATATGCTGGCCTTGATTCATGCCTTAAGTTTCAGCTTGCTTGATTCTTTCCATCGCAGCTGTCCGTTAATCTTTGCTGATTGATTTCTTTTCCTTAGGCATCCAGATTTGCTGATTGGTTTATAAGATTGATTTCTTTCCTTAAACATCAAGATTGACTTCAGCGATCTTGTAGTATCTTCTTGATTCTTTGTTCTTCTGTAATTGAGTTCTTGCAGAGGTATATTATTTGCATCATTAAAACTAGATCTAACAGTGAGAAGGATGCTCCATTGCAAGAAAAAATCATACACGCCAAAGGCTCGATAGATGAGAAGTGCCACACACGTCCCCACCTGCAAAAGGGAGAGTGTTGATCATTTACTTCTTCGCCTGATCTAGGATGGAGAACTCGCCGTGGACTTCTTCGCCAAATTGCAAGAAGAGGACGCCATGAAACTCCTTCTAAGGCAGGGACAGAATGCGAGTCGTGATCATGGAGGTGGAAGACGGATACGCTCGAGTGATTGTGTGCTTGCCAAAGCTCGACTGAAAAGGTGAATGCACCAAACTGTTGTCCGCCAAAGCCTTGGCCAAAAAGGTGGGTGCATAAAAGTTTTTTCCTCCAATGCCACAAAGATGAGGAAGCTCCAAGCTTCGCCTTGCCAAACCTGCAAAAAAAGAAGTATGCTTCCCAAAAAATAAATTCGCCTCATTTAGATCTTGATTCAAAAAACTTATTGTGACTGGATCATAATGGGTAGTACTTCGAGTTTCATATGTGTTTTAGCTCTCGTATTCTTCTTTTGAACGGCACAAACAACTCATGAATCAACTTCAAAAATTTATTCCATCCGATCCAGAAGGTGTTTGGAGGTGAAATTTTGATATGTCGTAGTCCTTTGATTCTAGCATCAGTAGAATCAAGCGGTTTGCAATTTCAACATTCCCACAGCAAGATACTATTTTTTTGGTGAAGGCGCACAAAGCTGAAAGAGCCAGCTGGTCGGAACTCGTCTCCTAACTTCTGACAAATATCTGGGAAGATCTATGCATAGTCTAATTTTGATTTTTACGCATGTCCTAGTTCTAGAAGTCTAGTTTTTGAAATCATAAACAGCTCATAATTTTAATGTTTCTACACCAAGATATAAATTTTTTTGTAAAGGCACCCAAAGCTGTAAAGTCTAGCGCGGCAGCATCTGAAACGAAATTCAAAAGAATACATAAGATGCTACAGAAGGAATTTTGCCCCAAAAATTTGATAAGTTGAAGTATTAGAATAGTTTCAAAAGGATCAAATGGCTTGTATTTCTAATTCTCCTACAATAAGATATGATTATTTTCTCCACAGATGCGCAAAGATGGCTATCCTAGACAGCTTCTGCAGCGAAAAAAAAGGTTTTGGAGCCCTCGGTGCCAACAACATGAAGCTTTTGGTCATGTTTAATTGATTGGCGTCAACAACATGGAGCTTTAATTCAGTAGCAAGTATCGATGTCAATGACACGACACTCTAATATAGATGGTAAATATTGTGACATGTACTTCTCCACCAAATCTTGAAGGATGTAATGCCCCAAAGATTATTCCGTCAAAGCCGTCAACTTCTTTGTTAAGTTGCAAGAAGTCAGCCATGCCAAGACTCAATGAATAGGAAGTTCCATGCACATCTTCGCCTGCAAAAAAGATAGTGTTGATCATGTAATTCTTCACGTGATCTGTCATAGAGAACTCGCCATGCTCGCCCCAAAGCTAAAAAAAGATAAAAAACTATGATGCCCGAACAATCCTCCTGATTTCAATGCTTGATTCAAAAATTTACTGTAAGTGTATCAACTAGCGTAGAGCTTCGAGTTTTATGCATGTTGTAGATCTCATAGTCTTCTTTCGAATGCCGTAAATGGCTCATGATTTAGACACTCTTATCTTGAGATATGAATTTTACGACGAGAGTGAGCAAAGCTGTAAGCTGAACGAGCCAGACGTGTAGATCAACTTAAGAACTTAATTCCAGTCAATCCATAAAGACTTTAGCTCTGAATTTATGATATGATGCGGTCCTCTGAGTCTAGTTTTGGTAGAATTGAACGGCTTGCAATTTGGTGTCTCCTACAATTAGATATGAATTATTTGCCACAGACCCACAAAACCGACAGCTCCAGGCAATTTGTGCAACAGAAAAAAGTACTTGAATAACTGATTCTTGCAAAAAAGAAAAAGAGAATATCAAGAAAGCAAGATGAAGCATAAGACCTTGTTTAAGGAATCTCAACTCTCTGTATGAGTTAGCAATCCGAGGAGCGTTCGGATTCACACCAAAGAAAAGGTGAAAGCTGTGATGAGAAACACCTCAAGTTATAGTTTTTCTAGGCGGTGGAGTTTTCCTTGTCATACAAGAATTTTATTTCTAAGAAATAGTCAATTCCTGATTGACTAGAAGTCTTTTATGGTAAAATATATTCACTAAAAATAAACTGGAATTAGCTACGAATGTCGTCGCTATTCTGTCGCCAAATCGCCCGAACTAGTAGAATTTCTTGATAATCTGTCGCTAAATGAGATTAGCGACGAATTTTTCTATTTAGCTACAGAATCTGGTAATCGCTAAAACCAGATTTTTTAGCAGTGAGTTTGGATAGCCATTAAGTTGAGAAGGAACCAAAAGACATCATGTGTAGGAGTTTGTATGAATCAAGGAAAGTTAGGTTTACCTACGTAATGAGAAATTGAGAACTCTTACCAAATTCTAAAGTTTTGACTTTGTCGTATATGGTATGGATTCTGACTTAGTAATGTGAAGTAAGCCATTTAATTAAGGGAGTAATTTTCATAAATGAAAAAAGGGGAGACCAACTTTTTTGCACTCAAAATGGAACTGTTAAGCTACCCAAGATTGGAGACTCGGAGTAATTCACGTGAGTTGGGTTTAAGTTGCTTGGTCTTTAAATTTGATTATTACAAGATACACTAAAGGGCATATGCAACTCCTTGCAAAAGAAATGGGCGCGTGCAACAAGTTACTTGTGTATGGCATGGAACATGAGTTTAACTCTTCTTCTTCTTTTTTTCGTACGAGGCACACTCAAGAACTTCAAGTATACTACGAATTCATGTAATTCTTCCCAAGTAATTCGTGTTAGCTTGATTAATGTTATTCAAGACTAGTATTTGAATAATGATTCAGACGATCTGTCCGGGAAAGAGGGAGAAGTTCTCCAATCCAGAGAGAAAAAAATAATGTTGTCTTTTACTGGTATACTTCAAGTCTCGCCTCTCAATTCAACAAGCTTACATCCTGACAAGCCTTAAAGTAGGGGATATTTTTAGACAATTAAAATTTTACTAAATTTAAATCCATAAGAATTTTGAATTTTATCATAAATTAAATATATATTAGTCTAAATAAATTCATGAGCTAATATAATTGGGTCAATTATTTAAATCCAATTAAATTGATTTAAATAAAGGTCCAATATACCATTGGGCTAGCCCATTAGCTGTCTTCTATCAAATAGGTCGGTCCATGAGCCTCAAGCCTAATGACCCATTAGGGTTTTCTTGGAGGCTACTCCACCCCACACCTAGAAGGACAATCAAGTAAGCAGAATGAGGAGCCCTGCCTCTCACCTTTCGGTTCATTGCAAGGAAAGATTAAAAAGAAAAAAGGAAGCTTTCGGCGGACACAAGCCCTCGGGACTTGACACCCGGGATCTTTGGCTTATGCCATGTGCTCCAAACTTGAACTCAACTTCCTTTTTTCACCAACATCCGCTTCTCACTCAAGAAACTGGTGAGGGGATTGAATACCCCTATGTTCCAAGTGACTAGCTTGGCTGGTGATGCGTTCACCCACTTGCACGCTTCCTTGCAAGCAGTGAGATAGGCAGACGGGGAGTACGCAGCCGAACAACCGCTGGGGTTTCCAGCAGTGATAGCTGAACTAATCAGATGGGCCGCCCCAAACCTTACGCTGACATTTAAATCGGAAATCAACATCGGGTCCCGGCTATCCGAAAAACGCAAACTGAAGCGGAAGATCACAAAATGCAACATAACAAGGGGGTCGTTAGACCGTAGCTTGCGCGAAGGAAGAAGCTAATCAATCAGAATTGAGACAAGGAGGAGAGGCGAAAGAGAGATTTTCGAGCCTGCAAGCAGCAAGCAATAACGGCTTTTCAGCCGTTGCGCACTAGCTTGTAGTTTAGGGGTATAGTCCCATGAGCATCATGGCATAGGTAAAAGGGAACGAGGAGGCAAGCCCCCCCATCTTGTTCTCTTTTTCTCCTTGAGTCGGATGAATCGAGGGTTCCAAACCCCGCCAGGTCCGTACTAGAAAAGACTCGGTCAAGGTCAAAAGCACCTGCACGAAGGCTAAAGAAGCTTTTAAGAATAGCATCAAGGTCTCCATCCATATATGCAATCGTCTTTCGTGGTCAAATACAAAAGGCGAACTCAAATCATAGGCGGGGGTGGTTTTAAATCTTCAGTTCGTGATAACCCAACACCAAACCCTGGTTCGTGACGACTTTCAAATTGTTTGTGACGTACTACAAATCCGAAATCCGTCAAGTTCAAGATCAAGCTCTCAAGCTCTTGAACCATCGTTCGCGAGGAGAAGAATTAGAGGACTACATCTCTTTAAAATTGAGATATTTTAGATATTGTAACCCCATCCACTGAAATCGAATATAATATTTGTCTCTATATTTCTTGTCTTGATTATTATTTTCCAAGAGCGAAATTTAGTTGTTACAACATGAAAACTGAAAATTGTTTTTTATGTATTCTTTATATTATAAAAACAATCAAATGAGAGATGTTTGTGTATTTGGTCACCGTCTATTTGGGTTGGGCCGTTTGCCAAAGGGAATTCACTAAATACTGGATGGCACTTTCAGCCATCGCCACTGTGACTCGTCACTGTGGTCTCTGCTCACCATCCTCATTTTCTTCTTCTCCTTTGATTCACATTACGCGTACCAGAAAACTAGTCACCAGAAGAGTATCTCTTCCTACCAGAATGTCTTCCTTTAAACCCAACTCACCTCCACCGCAAAACCAACCTTCGACTGAGAACAATCTCACGGCACCCTATGGCTCTTGGAAGTCACCCATCACTGCTGACATCGTCTCTGGCTCCAGCAAACGCCTCGGTGGCTTTGCAGTCGATTCAGTTGGTCATCTTTTCTGGCTAGAATCACGCCCGACAGAGTCCGGGTACATATCGAACTCAATTTGCTTTTGACTGTGGGTTTTAAGTGAACTTTGAGTGTTTAATTATTACAATAACAATAACTCCAAACAAGTTCGTGTCGTGGTCGTTGACCATATTTCTCCATTTAAATTCACCTCAGGCAGAGTTTTTGCTTCTTCTGAGTTCAAAATTTGAATTCGTGTTTATACCCCATAAAAATATTGTGATATTTTGTTGTAATGTTTTGAATTTTTGTTCTTGGGCATTCATAACTTTCATACTGACTCATGTTTAAATCTCAAAAAACCAATAATTAATGTGATATTTTCTTGTGGGCAGTGGCGGATTTAGGAGGGCCGGAAAAATTACACTGTATATATGACAAAATATGTTTTTACCTCTATATATTATATTTCCAATCCCCTTGTGGTATCCCAAAAGCATAGCTTAGTGGTTAAGGGGTTCAAAACCTTTGGGGGTTCACCGGTTCAATTCCACTAGCTATACAATCTCTTTTAACTTTTAAACTTTTTTCTTTTTGAACCCTCTTAGCGGAAATCCTGCCTCCGCCACTGCTTGTGGGTTGTTGAGTTTATGAATTTACATTCTAAGGCATTGATAATTTGAAAGTCAAACTTATGTTTAGTGCCTTCTCGTTTATACTTTCAAAAAAAAAAAAAACCAAGAACCCTAAACTTTCTTGTGTTCTTTTATGTGGTTTGCATGTTTATACCTTATGCATTCTTAGTTTGCATATGAAACTCATGTTTACTGTTTATTGTTTAAACCCCAAAGCCCGTGATGATTTGTGATATTCATAAATTGTATTTTTTGAGGATTTTTATGTAAAGTTTGATTTTTGATTATATGCACTCATAATTGCATATGAAATACCACACTAACAACACCAAGGGGTGGGTTGTGATAGAGGAGATCCCTTCATCCTTCCCCTTTATTGGGTCTATGTGACGCGAATCCGAATTGATTGGACTAGTGGGTTCCAGATATCGGATGGTTAAACCAAAAGAAAATTGCATATGAAAATCATGTTTACTGTCTTTATGTTCAAACCAAATAGATTATGAAACCTTCTCTTGAGTTTTAATGTCAAGTTTGAATTTTTTATTATTATGCATTCTTGATTTGCATATGAAATTCATGTTTATTGTTTTCGCGCTTAAATCCAAAAACACATAGAGCTTGTGATATTTTCTTGAGGGACTTTATGTAGAGTTTGAAACGTTAGTCTTATGCTCTCATAAGTTGCATTTGAAACTCATGTTTACTTTACTGTCATCATATTTAAACCCAAAACCCGTAAAGATTGTGATATTTTCTTGTGTTTATGTAAAGTTCGATATTTTGATTGTTCTCTGATCATAATTTGCATATGAAACTCATGTTTTGTCTTTGTGTCTAAACCCCAAAACCATAAAGTTTGTGACATTTTTCTTGTTGGTTCTGTGTCAATTTTGAGTTTTTCATTGTTATGATTCAGACGAGCGGTTATTGTGAAGGAACCAGGGAAACCAGGGGAAGACCCCGTAGATGTAACGCCTACGGATTTTGCTGTGAGGACGTTGGCTCAGGAGTATGGTGGTGGTGATTTTTATATATCAGGAGACTCTTTAATCTTCTCTAATTACAAGGATCAGAGACTTTACATACAGTCCATTTCGTCCAAAGGTTTTTGCTGTTTTCCTTCGTTTTCTATGTCATCAAATGCAGTTGAATACGATTGTTTCCAATTCTTACCATTTTGTATTATATTTAACATAAGCTTCAATGGAGATACAAGTATGTTTATGTGCATATTTCGTTTACAAATTTCACCTATTATATCTGTCCATTTTAATGGTGATTATTAAATTTAGATTACCCCAAAAAAAGGAAGAAAAAGAAACTCTCACAGGTAGTAAGTTGGTTCGTATTAATTTTGAAAATTTGAAGCTTTTTCATTTTAACATATAGTTCATCATATTCACTATCACTATTCTCTTGGATGTTTCTCTTTAATTTGATCCCTGTTATTTTGGTACTAGATTCTGCTCCATTGCCACTCACTCCAGATTATGGTGGACAAAGTGTATGCTATGCTGATGGAGTGTTTGACTCTCGATTTAACCGTTACGTCACAGTGAGAGAAGGTTGGTTCTCAATATTCCTTATCGTTTTAAACTTTGCTTGATTCTCTAAAGAATTTATCCAAATCTTTGCTCCTTCTGTAGATCAACGTGAAAGTGGTATTAATGCAATTACCACAATTGTATCTGTCAATCTGAGCAATAACAGCGCTCAAGGTGAGAATTTTGTCAGTGTCGTGTCAGCTTATCATGATTCAATTTAAATTTGCCCTTGCTTAGATTGTTTTCTGTGTGAAGGCGAGCTAGAAAAGGCCAAAGAATGTTTATACATTGTGAAGGGATATTTCAATGTTTTCATATGGCCCCCTCCCTCCCCTGGGCCAGATTTGTTGAACTGTACATGTGAGTAGAATAGATAATCTTTAATATATTTCCGCTTGTCTGGAATGCAGAACCAAGGCTATTAGTTGGGGGCAATGACTTCTATGCCTCTCCTCGAATCGACCCCAAAGGGGAACGTATGGCATGGATTGAATGGGGTCACCCAAATATGCCATGGGACAGATCAGAGCTTTGGGTTGGCTATATATCAGACAATGGGTATGCCCCTAATAAATCTCTTGCTCTCTCTCACATACACGCGCATATACACGCACACACACACAAACACAGATATACCTGCACAGCCATAATACACACTTCCACTCTTACCTACAAGGAGACGCATTTACCTTGAGATGACATTCTGTTCATGCCTGTATAATTTATCACCATTTGCCAAGTACAACAAAACAACTATGCCTCAGTCCCAAAAAAGTTGGGGTCAGCGATATGAATCCTTATTCCTTTCATTTAGCTCAACTCATATCATCATCATTATCAAAATAAAATAAAAGTGCAAGTGAAAAAAAAAATAGAATAATAATAATAATAGTGGAAATTTTTTACCAAGTCTAAAACTTGTTCTCAACTAGTAGGTATCACCTTTATGGATTTTTCTCTTCCATTGTGCTTTATTTTTTGCTAAGTCTGTATTAATGCCAAAGAATTGTAGATCTTTCGAGCCAACATCCTTCCATGTGAACCATTTGCCAAACTAACAAAAAATGAGTGCTGGCATATGAGGAACATCACTGCTTTTCTTTGACTTTCCCCTAGGGATGTGCAGAAACACATTTGTGTTGCTGGCGGTGATCCTATTCTTGTGGAGTCTCCAACTGAACCCCGATGGTCTTCTCAAGGTATGCTTGAAGAAATTGCCAGCATATGCATAGTATAATTTTTACGTTATCGTTTTATGTTTCCAGATTAGTCTCGATAGAGAAATATTAGAAATCAGTTCCTGTGCTTGAGTTACTATTATTGGCCTTTGGTAATATAATTGGAATTTGAGTCCTTTATTTCTGAAAATGGGGCTCGGAGGGTCAAGCCTTTTGTTGTGGGAGAGACTGGGGCAAGTCTTGGACATTGAAGCATTGGAGAAGTTGGGGCAAGTCTTGGACACTGAAGCATAACTTATAACAAAGCGATCCATCCAATTTGGGGATGTTCCTGTTTATGTACACTCTGCAATTTGGACTAACTAAAGTTCTTCTTCAACAAACAAAGGACTGACTCTTCATTTTGTACAATTTTGGAAATGTTATTAGCCTTTAACTAATTCTTCATCTCATTTATCCAAGAAAGGTTGTAGAAAAAATGGTGTGTAATGTTGATCGATTTACAGTTAGAGCTAGTATTCTTTAGTATTTCTTATTCGCCTGCAAAAAGCTTCAGCAGTTTGATAATTGAGCCATGTTCTTTTGCTTTAAACAAGTACTCCCTCTCTTTCAAAAAGATTGTATTCGTTTGACTTGACACAAACTTTAATAAGAAGAGAAGACTTTTGAGATATGTGGTCTTAAATAAGCCGTAGCATTTGTGTGGCTGTAAAACTTTTGAAACTTGTGGTCTAAACCTATCACATCACTTGTGTGGCTATAAATCCTTCTTTTTAAGGAAATGTTGAAAGGTGCTAATCTTTTTTAAACAGACTAATAAGGAAATAGTGTCAATCTTTTTGAAACAGAGGGAGTATTTAAATAAGCTTGTATTTTAGCTTGAGAGAACAAAGTAGACGACTCCGCTGAGTTGGAACAATTTCTCTTGTTTTTTTTCTGTAAAATATAGTTCCCAACTTTTCTTTACTCAATTTCTTTCACCTCCTCTATTGCTGCTCTCCGCCACTTCTCACAATGTTGAAAAGCCCTATTTTTCCTAATGCTGAACATTTGTCAAACGCCTTAGCAGTTGCTTGGTATGCGGGATAAGGTGGGATAAGATGGGATAAAGTATGGTACTAAGTTTATACCATGTTTGGTTGATGCTATAAATTTATCCCGGGATAAAGTTATACCGTCAACCAAACATGGTATAAACTTAGTCCCAAACTTAATCCTGGATATCTCATCTTATCCCACCTTATCCCATCAAACTTGGTATTATTTTACCCCACCTCTCAGGTGGGATAAATTAGTCTAGAGATATAATCCAGGACTATAATCCCGGGATAATTTAGTCCGCGTACCAAACAATCCCTTGGTGTTTGCTTACTCGAACTGCTTCATACTTCGGCTGAGCATAAGCCAAAGTATGCCCAGAAACCCTATATTTTGCTCAATTTCACATTGAGGTATCTCGATAATAGAAGAGGGGGCTTTCCCAAAAGCCATACAGCAGTAAATTCTGGAGGCCTAATTAGCCAACCTCTTTTCTGCCCGACTTCACCAGAAATTGTGTAAGGAAATATGAGATTCTATATTTATCTAAAAAAATATGAGATTCTAAATACTTGGTGGTTTCTGTCAACTTTGAGTAATTATAGATAGATATATGAAATATGATATAGATCTTCTATGTTACCTTACCTGATAAAACCAATGATATAGATCATGCAAAAATTGTTTTCTATTGTTTGTTTTGCCTTTTCAATCTTTAGAGAATAAATTGCCAAGTGTCAACATATGCATAATATAAACCTTAAATTATCCTTTTCTGTTTCCAGAATTAGTCTCGGTTGAGAAATATTATAAAGCAGTTCTAATAAAAATCAGTTCTATTAAAAATCAGAGATCTATGCATGATTATCTGATATATGCTTCAACCTTAATTTCTCTATTAGGATTGTTTTTCCTTTTCAACTTTTACTCCACCAACTATTTTGGCTCTCAACTCTCACCAGTCGATATGTTTATGTATGCCTAAATGTCGATAAATATGTTGTTTCTTAACTATTTTTCATCTTTTTAAAATGCTTTTTAATATCTTGTATCGAGTTTACTACTTTATTAACAAAGATTTTAAATTGATTTGGTTTCAGCAGGCCACACCACAGAGATATCATTTTGAAATTTCACTTTCTCAAAGATATGTAGTTTATAACTTATATCAAATGGTAGGAAGATGTTGAAATGTTTGGTGATGCAAATTGTTGCTCCTTTGAAGTGGTTCCTAGTTTAAAATAGATGTACTCTGATAATATTGAGTTCAATATGCCTTAGTATTCAACTGTAAGATTATGATTGCTACGATGTGATTTGGATTGTTTTATATCTTGTTTCATGATTAACTCTAGGCTTACAGTATGCTAAGACTGATTTCTTAACATGTTCCTTGCATTGCTTTGCTATGTCTGGGGTGCAGGAGAACTATTCTTTGTAACCGACAGGAAAAGTGGGTTTTGGAATATCTACAAATGGGTAAGTCCTCATCTCATGTGATGTCATACTGATTAAATCTTTCGCCATCTGTTGTATATTTATTATACTAGTTTTAGGGTACGCGCTTTGTGCGTGTTCCACATGTCAATAACTAAATAACATTTAAAAATCACATAATAAAAATAAAAATAAAATGTATAACTTTCTAAAATATATATGTTGATCCCAAATCTATATCTTTTTTTATATGTCACCGGCTCACTACTACGGTAGACAATTACCGATAATTGACTTGAGTACTTATGATATTTTTTTTTAAAAAAGATTAAACTTATGTGTATACTCACAATGAAAAAACATATTATTATGTGATCACATTTCATTTCAAAATGTTTTTTGTGCGGATGTAGACCTTAAATCAAATTCCATTCAAAATCATTAGTCTAATTTTAGTTAATTTTTTGTTGAATTTAAAGTTCTAAATATTAGGAAAATTCTTCAATACAAATATGTAAAAAAAATTAAATGTAGAGTTATTTTTGAAGAAATAATTTAATTTTAATAGGTATAAAAGTTAATATTTAGATCGACTTTAATTATGTGACAATTAACTGTATATAAATCATTCTACAAACTTTTAGGTTGTTAGATGCGTTAAATATTTATGTTTTTTGTTATATTTAATGTTTTGATAAGTTTTTAGACAGAATTATTTTCTAGAACATCAACAATTATTTTTTTTCTTTGAGAAAATTTATTTCAACAAAAAAAAAAATGCTCGTTGTTTAGGGTTCATGATATATTTGGATTTGTTAGTATCTGGAGGAAGAAACTGCTCATAATTATGAAATTAATTATGTCTATCTAACATGCGGGAATTTTATTTTTTAGAATTAAGATTATTTATGCTATGCCGTGATGTTTTAGAAGACTTCTTAGGGTTTATGGAGGGAAAAGTTTCACACTATAGGATAGTAGGGATTGGAAGTTTGCATAGGAATCTTAGCGAGAACACACTTAAAATAGGTTATCCCTTGTGTCCTAAAAAAATAGTTTTCCTAATAAATATACAAATTTAGTCCTAAATATTAGGAAAATAAATAAATGTCTATTCCTAAGTATTAAGAAAATAATTTAAATGACTTTATTGTCTAGTGTAAACTCTATTTTAGAAGGGTTAAAAAATGAATACGATATTTCACTAAGGGCCGTCGTGCTTTCAATACAGTATAGATATACATCTTCTGTTGCGCCTAGTGTCTCAAGGTGAACTTCTTATATCTATCTTCTGTCTTGTCTAGTGGCTGAACTTGAACTTCTTTTCTGGGGTATGATTTGATCTAGCTGCTTAAACACTTCCTTAATAATGATCTCATCTTCTTTGAGTTCTAAGCCTAATGTTTACTTTTTCTCTTTACTTCCATCTGACCCTGGTGTTTTTGACTTGTTAAAGTTGTGGATACTTGGCAGATGTTGCATTCTCGCATTGAATTCCATGGCATTACAAACTGTAGGGAACCTTCAGCCTGGCCCTTTATTAACCACATTCTTGTTAGAGAAGTTGTGAAGTCGCATTAATAAAACATTGAAATGGTTAAAACTCTGATGTTTTCAGGTTTAAGCTTTTTCATTTAACTAGATTCGGCAGTTTTAAGAATATAAAAGATATGATTTCTAAATTGGCCACCAACTCTACCTTAGTCCTTATCATTTAGCTTTTAACAGAAATTACCTTAATCTCCACATAAATGTGTCACCTTCAATCCCTCCTTTGAACCACCAATTTAGATGGAAAAATGTAAAGCATGTTACTTGTACATGGCTTTTTGCATGATAAAAATGAGAGAGAATTCACTTTACCCTTTCCATGCTAACCTTAATCCCACTTTAGGGACCACATATGCCAAAAGGTTAATCCAAAGTGATGCAATACAGAGTGAAAGTGAAAAAGAAACACAATCTTTGCTTATTTCAATGCCTGCACAGCTTGCCTGTCAATTTTCATGTTATTTTATGGTGCTGGATATTGGCTCTGGAAAAGATTCACCATTTATGTGGAAAAACAATGAAATTATCTGTGACACTTTCTTGTTACTGCCTTTAGCGTCGAGCTTGTGCTTGTACTTGAGACAGTAGACTTGATTGGCCTCTTTTATTTTTTTGACAGGTAGAATCTTCTAACGAGGTGTTACCAGTTTACTCCCTCAATGCTGAGTTTACAAGACCCTTATGGATATTTGGGATGAAGTCTTATGACTTTCTTGATCACCACAGCCAAAATACTTTAATTGCCTGCAGTTACAGGTCAAGCTGATAAGTAGTTTGCTATTTTATATTTTTGTTGTGTATCATGATATTTGAAACTTATAGTGCTTTTATGCTGATTGGTTTGGTGACAAAGGAGTTCTTTATATGGTGACTCGCTTCCCCCTTTCTCCTGACTCAGGGAAAGAGAACTGTTCTGGAGGAAAATTGATGTAGTTCATCTTATCTAGTTAGAAAAAATATGTGCAGGGAGGATGGGAAGTCATATCTCGGAGTTCTGGATGTTACCCAGGGCAAAATATCAGTGCTTGACATTCCTTTCACAGATATAAACAACATTGTAAGAACTTACTAGCATAAGATGTAGCTGCTGCATTTAATATCCTTTTTGGGTTTTTACTCTTGCGCTGGTCTTGATAAATACCCTTATCAACCTAAACAGAGTTCTGGGGTTCATAGCTTGTATGTTGAAGGATCATCTGCTGTTCATCCATCGTCAATAGCTAAGGTTCTGCCCTCCAATCTTCTACTCAAAATTTAGAGACCTTCTGGTTGCTTGAAATTTTAAAAAGGGTATTTAAATGTGTGTTCCAGATCATTCCTTTAGCATTTTTTCTGTTATTTTTGCAGATTACTTTGGATGATCAGAGAACAAAAGTAATTGATTTCAAGATTATGTGGTCGTCATCATCTATTAGTGAGATGTATACGTCGTACTACAGTTGGCCGGAGTTGATGAAGTTCCCAACAGATATCCCGGGTCAAAGTGCATATGCATACTTTTATCCACCAACAAACCCCGACTATCAAGCCAGTCATGGAGAAAAACCTCCATTGCTCATGCGAAGTCATGGTTATTTTTCCCCTCATTAGAACTGCTTATGCTCGATAGCTTATCTTTGTTAAAAAACTGAGATTAGTTGGTTTCTGTATGAGATGTGAATGTATATTTTACGTTGATACAGGAGGTCCTACAGCTGAAGCACGGGGATGTTTAAATCTTAGTGTTCAATATTGGACCAGTCGTGGTTGGGCATATGTGGATGTGAATTATGGTGGAAGCACTGGTACTCTAATGGCCCTTTGACTCCTTCCATCTTTGTCTTGCTATTCTTTCTATACTGTTTCTTGAATAGGGGACTATTTTGAGAGTTTCAACTTTTTGAGGGAACATCGTTTCCTGCTTTTATTGACTGATAATCAGAACTTTATAGATATGTATAAAGGAAACTATACGAAATAAAAGAATTCAGTACTTTATATTGCTAGAAAAAGCAGAGAAAGCGGCCAAAGGGTCAGGATGGAGTAGAACAAAGTGGTAGACTAGTTAGCTCCTATTAAGTCGGTTAATATTCTCTTGTTTTTGGCTCATATGAAGGTTATGGCAGAGAATATCGAGAAAGACTGTTGGGGAAATGGGGAATTGTGGATGTCAACGACTGTTGCAATTGTGCCAAGTTTTTGGTAACATCAGTACTAATTCTCTTATATTCCTTTAATGCTGCTATAGATTTTGTAAGTCATGGTAAATTAGTTTGTTCATTCAGGTTGACAGTGGAAGGGTTGACGGCGAAAGACTTTGTATTACAGGGAGTTCCGCTGGTGGTTATACAACATTAGCTGCACTAGCATTTAAAGATGTTTTCAAGGCTGGAGCTTCCTTGTATGGTGTGAGTGAATCAAAAAGTTTGTTTTCGATAAGTAATATTGTATTTACATATCTTGTGTGCTCTTGCACTTGCAACCTTAAACTGATCATAAAAATATGATACTTTAAGTTAAGGTTGGTGCCTTTATGTGGTATTCTGTTATCTTAGATGATCATCTTTGTGTAGAAAAGCACGTGATTGATTAATTAGACACACGGATCAGGCATCAGTTTGGTTCATATGTCTACTTGTATAACTCAAAGCTCCTCAAGTATCAAATCCTTTTTTTTAGTTTCAGTGCTTTATGCCCTCATCTTTTGTTAATCAGATTGGTGATCTGCAATTGCTGAGAGCAGAAACTCACAAGTTCGAATCTCACTATATTGACAATCTAGTTGGTAATAACCAAATCGATAAATGTTGACAATACATTTGCTTTAAGTCTTTCCCCTGATCTATGTTGATCTATATGTTATGAGCCCTTTTCAATCATTGCAGGGGATGAGAAGGCATATTTTGAGAGGTCGCCAATCAATTTCGTAAATCGATTTTCCTGTCCCATTATTTTATTTCAAGGACTGGAGGACAAGGCAAGCACAGCATGCCCCTTTTAATGTCATAATTATCCTGTCTGTGTCATTTTTTATTGAAGACTTGTCTACATAAATCTTTTCCTCCAATTTTCTGTTACCCAAAAAGATTTGACAATCCTCTTTTAGTCTTGGGCGAAGTCGCTCTCTCATATTTACGCTTTCTTTGGATATACTTCTGTATTTTATGCATGGAGTTGGTCTAGTAAACATGTCAGAAAGAGTACGTGCTTAAAGCTTTTATTCATGTTCATTGAGACTAAGTAGCATGTATCCGGAAAATTTGTTTTGATGCAATAGCATTCACTTTAAATGGAGCTTGCACCGAACTCTGGTGCATGGTTTTTTTGCCTTGTCCATCATAAGTGTTGGATATTTGGCTAGTATAGTTGCATCTTTAAAACAGCTAAACAGTATGGCCTCTTATTTAAACAACATGATGATGACGGGAAGGAGAGTAATCAAGCAATCACCTCTGTTTGTAATGACTGTTGCTTGTTGGTAGAATTAAGTTTTTAGCTCCTGTTGCAGGTCGTTTCCCCTGATCAAGCACGCAAAATCTACCAGGCATTGAAGGAGAAAGGGTTGCCTGTTGCACTTGTTGAATATGAAGGAGAACAGCATGGTTTCCGTAGGGTATGCATCATTTTCCAGACTTGGGGATAAAATTTTGTCTGTCCGCCTTGTAGGAATTTAGCTGATTTCTTTCGTCATATGCAGGCTGAAAATATTAAATTCACCCTTGAACAACAAATGGTGTTCTTTGCGCGTTTAGTGGGACATTTTGAAGTGGCAGATGAAATTACTCCTGTCAAAATTGATAATTTTGATTGAGGTATATGACTCCTGAATGATCTGTACCATAGAGTTGTTCAATACAATTGCCATAACTAAGGAAAAAGTTGATGACGGAGAGAGAGAAGCAGCCGTTTGATTTAATTTGCTGGATCAGTAGATAGGTTATACTTTAGGAAAACATTTTTGTCTAATAACATCATCAAGATTTGCTGATCAAAGAAACTAGAACATCGTCAAGCGCACAGAACACTTGGAGTTTGCTCTTGACAGATTGCTTAATGTGGCAGTAAGCCTTGAGGGAGAGGAATTGTGATCCCCCCCTATGGGTTTGGGTGTGGATTGCTGGATGTATTTTCTCTTATCTGAGTGCTCTCTTTAGCTTTGGTACCATGTGAAATGAGAAATCTTATTGAATTGGTTAGAAGTCTAATCCCAGAAGCCTCCTATAAAAAATTGTACACAACATAAGATGTGGATAAGTTTCTTAATGATCGGGTTCTTGTGAAATTCTTAACGAAAGATTTGATAACAACTAGTCTGAGACTTTTAAAAAGTAACTCACGTTTCTACATTTTTAGTCGACTGGATAATATGGAAGACGGATGGATCGTAAGTGGAACAATAAGGGATGAGAAGCCAGTTCATATGTTGTAGTATTAAGGCAAGGAAAAAGAGGTTTCTGAATTTATTGTTCAGCTTTGGTCTAAAAGGTAATTCTATTTCATTTTTTTCTTTGACTATGATTCTGAAAGCGTGAATAAAAGTTGAATGCGTACATTTGCAATTTGATGGTTCAAATGATTGTCTCTGCCTGAAGAGCTGGAAGGAAAGAAACAGTAGTTGTTCAGCAAAGAAATTAATTTTCCTTTTTATATCTTGTAAGTCAGAAAAGGTCTGTGTTTCTCTCGTAGAATTCCAGCCTGAAGGTAATTCTGAGTCAGCTTTTTCTACAAAGAATTTGGACGTACAGTCGGGAACCATTTCACGCTGGAGCGAGTACACAATTTGCTGACAACTAGGATAATACTGTGGCAGTTTGGACCTTTTCCTTGGGAGATTTATGTTTGATGAAGAACCATCGAATTTTGAATTGATCCTGGTCCTGGATGATAATTCCTACTTCTTACTTCTCAAGGAAAAATTGAAGTTTGCGTATATCTTTTACTTCTTCCTCTCTGGCGATTCCGTATCTATATGTACTAACCTTTTTGCACACTTCATCTTACACATTATTGTTATTGATACTTATTGTCGTTTTCCGCGGAGACTTAAGAGTAAGTTCTATAGAGTGTTTGTTCTGCGGAGACTTAAGAGTAAGTTCTATAGAGTGTTTGTTCAACCGACTATGCTGTATGGGCTGAATGTTGGTCAGTCAAGAACTCCCACGTGCAGAAGATGAAAGTAGCAGATATGAAGATGTTGAGATGGATGTATGGGTGTATCAAGAGATAAGATTAAGATATATCGGAAAGAGTTGTGTGGAAGATATAAGTCACAGTTTAGTTTTTGGTTTCGGAGAGGGACCCCTTTGGCATATCTGTGGCATTGCCACGCTATTTAGACAACACATATAGCATACTTCAGAATTACTATTAGAGATGATGTCTTGAATATTCAAAGACTACTTAAGATTGAATACTTAAAACAACTCAAGGGCCTATAGGCTTGGATTTAAAAAGAGTTGGGCTTGGTTTGACTTGAAGGCTTGGCTCGGTCTGCCTCCGGCAAAGCTTGGTTCAATTCGATGTTGCTGTCAAAATTGCACGGTATAGCCAGTTTTCGGACTGGTCATTTAAAAATAGCCAGTGTTTACCAAGTCAATAAAAAATAGCCACTATTTTGCTGCAACAGAGACCGGTCCAGCATAACATACTGGAGTTCGGTGCACCTGTGTATGAACTCTAGCATATTATGCTCCACCGGTATACTTTGCTGGCTTCAGTATAATATACTGGAGACTGGAGCACCGGTGCTCCAAACTCCAGTATATTATGCTGGGCCGGTATACTTGCTGGAACTCCAGTATATTATGCTGGAGTTCTAGTGGACTTATGCTGGAACTCCATCATACTATGCTGGAGTTCCAGCATACTTATCTTGGAACTCCAGTATAATATGCTGGAGTTCAAGTATACTTATTATGCTGGAACTCCAGCATAATATACTGGCGTATTTTTCCGGGTTTTGAACAGTGTTTTCGCTCAGATTTATCTTTACATGAAAAGTGGCTAAATTTCAATTACTTTTGAAATTGGGCTATTTTTGAACGACCAGTTGTAAATCTGGCTATTTTTGAATTTCACCTGATTTTGCTCGGTTGGATCGTAGAGTCTTGTAGTACAAAGTAAATTAGTAATTAGTTAACTTAAATATTAATATATTAGTTTAATAATTGGAAACTTGTTTGGTAATAGCAACTCTTATAAAATGTAATTTTGTTATTCTTTACGCTGGACAACAAATTTTAGTCGGATGATAACTTGAGGTATTTTCTGATGAGATGAAATGTAATTAAAAGAAAATTAAATTCAATAGGTCGAATTATTATCGAAATTTGATTAAGCCCAAATTTTTTATTTATCACTGATTTAATTTTTGGTTTAGAATTTTTACTTTATGTCATATACTCTATTTAATAGCTAGTATTCGAATGTAATGTATAAATTAAAGTTTGTTTCAAAGTAATTCCATTACATTTGAATTCAATTATCAATCTAAAGTACTGCTTCGTATAATTTATTGATAATAGGTGAATTTGACTATAATCACACCTTAAATAATCACCTTCTTGTGTAGTTTTAATGCTAAAAGTGATAACAAAATGCTCTTATTAGTGCTTTTCATGATTTGCAGGTGATATATGTATAAGGAAGGCTAAGGAGCAGTTTTGGAGTCAAAATTGGAGAAAAGAGGCCAAATGTGTAAATTCCCAATGAAGCTACACCCTGCCAGCCCTTAGGATTCAGAAAAATGGTTTGGCCGCGGTTCTACCGCGACAGAACCGCGGTGGAAGGCAGCTTCAGAACTTTAGAGATTCAGAGAGGGTGATTGGCCGCGGTTCTACCGCGACCACGGCAGAACCGCGGCAGGCGCAGAAAAGTTCAGGGGTCAAAGTGTCAAATACAGGATTTTTAGACCTAAACCCTATTTAAAACATTAGACTTCGCCCAAGAGAATCATTATTGATTTTGAGGGTTTCTTAGCAAGGAAAACCATTGTGAGAGAATACTCCAAACATCTTTCTTCTTTACTTTTGATTTTTATGATGAATTCTATCTTAGTTTATTTTTCCATAGCCATGAGTAGCTAAATTCCTTGTCTAAGATTTTGATGGAACCTATTGGGTGATGAACTTCTTGTTTATGTGAATACAAATTGCTAGTTTAATCTCTATTTGTTCAACTTCGTGTTTGTTGTAGTTAATTGACAGGATCCTCAATTAGTTGTGCCTATTTAGTATGCATAACTTGGAAAAGAGTGCATATTTAGGGTATTGTTGAACAACACAACTCCTATATTATTAGAGGAATCTATAATTGCGGGTTTAAAGGCGGGATTAGGGATAACGAAGCCTTGGGTGTAATCTAAAGTGAATCGTGCTAAATAAAGTAAGCTAGTGTATCTCAGGAGAGTGCAATAGTAAATTACTGTGATTACTCGGGAGAGATTTACGGTAAGATTAGCGTTCATGATTGATAGAGATGTGTTGGTAAATTTGTATGAGCATAAACAGAAGGGATTCCATCAATAGGGGAAATCATTGCCTTAGGTTTTTATCATAATTGTTTACAACCTTATTAGTTTAGTTTACAGCCATTTAGTTACTTGCAAACGTAGTTGTTAAAGAACATTCAACTGAGATTTGAATATTTGGGAAAATGGTTCTGAAGAATTAGTGGGTCTGAAGATAGTGGTTGATAGGTTAACTCTCTGTGGATTCGACCCTGGGCGTAATACTCGAGTTATATTTGCAACGTCCGCAGAGTCCTTTTTATAAGGCATAGTTGGGCGTGATCAAATTTTGGCGCCGTTGCCGGGGAGTTAACGGAATTATCAATTGCCATTGACAGAAATACAAAGATTCTTATTGTAGTCATTTTTCTCTCTACCAAAAATTTTCATTGAAAATTTGACGGTTGTTGATCTGGGTGCACGGGCGTATGCCTATAAATTCTACGAGGACTGGAACTACTTGAAGGACTCTCAGACCCCGAGAAAATATTCCGGGCATTGAATCGTGCTAACAAAAGACTTCAACAACCCCAACAAACACACAAATTCGAAATTGACATGGGCGACATAAACGACCCCAACAGAAACGTCAGGAATGAGCAATTGGCACCTCCCGTGCCTGAGGGTGCACTATATGACTGGGCACAACCCACAGCTGACAATCTGGCCACTGCCATTGTTGTGCCCGCAATACAAGCTGAATCGTTCCAGATCACAAATAACATGCTACACTTGTTGCAGAACAAGGGACTCTTTTCTGGGACACAAACAGAAGATCCTCAGCAGCACTTGAAGAACTTCCTGTCTATATGCAAAACTCAAAGGCAACCCAACGTGACTCCGGAAGCAATCAGGCTATTATTGTTTCCATTCTCGGTGACAGGAGCTGCTCAGGTTTGGCTAAACTCGCTCCCCATAAACTCTATAGAAACTTGGGATGAGTTGGTCAAGCAATTTCACAACAAGTTCCATCCGCCCAACAAAACTGCTCAACAAATTGATGAGATTGTGAGTTTCAAACAGAAACCAATGGAGACACTACACGAGACATGGGGCAGGTTTAAGGGAATGTTGGTTATGTGTCCCCACCATGGTGTTCCAGAACAGATGTTGGGACAACGGTTTTACATGGGACTGTCAGACAGCATGAAGAATATCGTTGATGCCTCTGCTGGTGGGGCATTCTTGAGCAAGACTTGGAGAGAAGGTCAGAATTTGCTCGACAAGATGGCGCAGAATTCGGGTTGGACAACTAGGAACGCACCTATCACTCCAGTGGTGCACTCATTGCCTCTTGATCCTTCTAATACAATGGCTGAAAATATGGCGACTCTCTTGACACAAATGAGCATCCTCACCAAAAAGGTAGAGGAATCAGGGCAGAAGCAGCAGGTTCATATAGTAGATACTACCAATGGGGGCTTGTGCACATCTTGCATTAGCCAGCCAATTGGTAATCCTTGGAATACAGAGCATGATCATCATCATCAGCACCCTGAAGATATGAACTATGTGGCTAACTACGGGGGTCAGAGGCAAGGTAATCAGAACTGGGGTCAGCAGACTCAGCAGCAGTACAGGCCACCTCAGCCACAGTATAACGCCGGAAACATGGGAGGCATGAGACCCCCCAACAACATGGCACCGTATCCTAGACCACAGGGGTACAACAATCAGCAGCAAGGGTACCACCCACCTCAGCAACAGTAGGGTGGAAGACAGGAAGACGGG